TAGTAGTAGTTGTAGAAGTTGCAGCTGTAGTAGTAGTAGTAGTATTTGGAGTAGCAGTAGTAGTAGTAGTAGTAGTAGTAGTAGTGGTAGTAGTAGTAGCAATAGTAAAGTAGTCGTGCTCGTAGCGGCATCGTAGGAGTAGTCGTAGTAGTCGTAGTAGTAGTAGTAGTAGTAGTAGTAGTAGTAGTAGTAGTAGGAATGGTAGTAGTCGTAGAAGTAGTAGTCGTAGTAGTAGTAGTAGTAGTAGTAGTAGTAGTAGCAGTAGCAGTAGTCGAAGTGGCAGTAGTAGTAGTAATCGTAGAGGTAGTCGTAGTAGTTGTCGTGTTCGTAATCGTAGTAGTCGTAGTGGTAGTAGTGGTAGTCGTAGCGGTAGTAGTAGTCGCAGTAGCAGCAGTAGTAGTAGTAGTAGTAGTAGTAGTAGTAGTAGTGCTAGTAGTAGTAGTAGTAGTAACCGTAGTAGTAGTTTCAGCAGTAGCAGTAGTGGCAGTGGTAGTAGTAGTAGCAGTAGTAGTAGTAGTAGTCGTCGTAACAGTCGTAGTCGTAGCAGCCGTAGTAGTAATCGTAGTAGTAGTAGTAGTAGTAGTAGTAGTAGTAGTAGCAGTAGCAGTAGTAGTCGTAGTGGTAGTCGTAGTAGTAGTAGTAGTAGTAGTAGCAGTAGTAGTCGTAGTAGTAGTAGTAGTAGTAGTAGTAGCAGCAGTGTAAGTAGTAGTTAGTTCGTAGTAGTAGTAGTAGTAGTAGTAGTCGAAGGAGTAGTCGCAGTCAGTAGTAGTAAGTAGTAGTAGTTAGCAGCAGGAGTAGTAGTGGTAAGTGGTAGTAGTAGTAGTAGTAGTAGTAGTAGTAGGGTCAGTGTGAGTCGTTTGTAGTGGTCGTAATTTGTAGTAGTCGTAGTGGTAGTAGTGGAAGTCGCGTAGCAGTAGTAGTAGTCGCAGTAGTCAGTAGTTAGTAGTAGTGTAGTAGTAGTAGTAGGAGTGGGAGTAGTCGTATTAGTAGTAGGTCGTAGTCGTAGTAGTCGCGAGCAGTCGTAGTAGTCGTAGTCGTAGTAGTAGTAGTAGCAGCTAGTGTACGTTAGTGAGTGGTAGTCGTAGAAGTAGGAAGTAGTAGTAGTAGTATTAGTCGTAGTAGGAGTGTAGTGGTAGTTATTAGTAGTCGTAGTAGTAGTAGTAGTAGTAGTAGTAGTAGTAGTAGTAGTAGTAGTAGTAGTAGTAGTAGTAGTTTAGTAGTAGTAGTTTAGTAGTAGTAGTAGTAGTAGTAGTAGTAGTAGTAGTAGTAGTAGTAGTAGTAGTAGTCGTAGTAGTAGTCGTGGTAGTAGTAGTAGTAGTAGTAGCGGTAGTAGTGGTACTAGTAGTAGTCGTAGTCGTAGTAGTAGTCGTAGCCGTCGTCGTAGTAGTAGTAGTAGTCGTCGTAGTCGGAGCAGCAGTAGTAGTAGTAGTAGTAGTAGTATTAGTAGTAGTAGTAGTAGTAGCATTATCATTAGTAGTGCTGGTAGTAGTCGTAGTCGTAGTAGTAGTAGTAGTAGTAGTAGTAGTAGTAGTAGTAGTATTAGTAGTAGTAGTAGTAGTAGTAGTAGTAGTAGTGGTTGAGTAGTTGTAGTGGTATAGTAGTAGTCTCAGTGCAGTGGTCGTGGTATAGTGGTATAGTAATAGTGGTATAGTAGTAGTAGCCGTAGTAGTAGTAGTAGTCGTGATAGCAGTAGGATTAGTAGTCGTCGTCGCAGCCGTAGTAGTAGTATTAGTAGTAGTAGTAGTAGTAGTAGTAGCAGTCGTAGTAGTAGTAGTAGTAGTAGTAGTAGTAGTAGTAGTAGTAGTGGTAGTAGTAGTAGTAGTAGTAGTAGTAGGAGTAGTAGTGTTAGTAGTTTTAGTAGTCGTAGTAGTAGTAGTAGTAGTAGTAGTAGTAGTAGTAGTAGTAGTAGTAGTAGCCGTAGCAGTAGTAGTAGTGGTTGTAGTAGTAGTCGTAGTAGTCGTAGTAGTCGTAGTAGTCGTAGTAGGAGTAGTAGTAGTAGTAGTAGTAGAAGTAGTATCAATAGTCGTAGTAGTAGTAGTAGTATGAGTAGTCGTAGTCGTGGTAGTTCGTCGTAGTAGTAGTAGTAGTAGTAGTATAGTAGTAGTAGTATTAGAGTAGTAGTGTAGTACGGAGTGAGTATAGTAATAGTAGTAGTACTAGTAGCAATAGTAATGTATTGGTTATTTTTTTTTCAGTAGTAGTAGGTAGAGCGCAGAGCACGTTCGTAAGTAGTAGCATGCGGGGAGACGTAGTAGCACAGTCGTAGGTTGTAGTAGTAGTAGTAGTAGTAGTAGGAAAAAGTAGGTAGTGAGTAGTAGTAGTAGTAGTCGTCGTAGTAGTAGTAGTAGTAGTAGAAGTAGGAGTTAGTAGTAGGTAGTATGTAGTCGTCGTAGTAGTAGTCGAGTAAGCGTAGGCTGTAGGCGAGGCGTCGCGTTAGTAGTCAGTATTAGTAATAGTAGTAGTAGTCGTAGCAGTAGTAGTAGTGTAGTAGTAGTTAGTTGAGTAGAGTAGTAGTAGTCGTAGTAGAGTAGTAGTAGTAAGTAGTAGTCTGCTAGTAGTAGTAGTAGTGGCAGTAGTAGTAGTAGTAGTAGTAGTCGTAGTAGTAGTAGTAGTAGTAGTAGTAGTCGTAGTAGTAGTAGTAGTGGTAGTAGTAGTAGTGCTAGGAGTCGTGGTAGTATAGTCTAGTATAGACGTCGTGGTAGCAGGGGCAGCGCAAATGTCAGGAGTAGTAGTAGTAGTCGTAGTAGTAGTAGTAGTAGTAGTTGTTGTTGTAGTAGGTGCAGTAGTAGTAGTAGTAGTAGTAGTAGTAGTAGTAGTAGTAGCCTCAGTACTTGTATCAGTAGTAGTAGTAGTAACAGCAGTAGTAGTAGTAGTAGTAGTAGCAGTCGTATGGTGCAGCATGGTATCGTATACTAGTGGTAGCCGTCGTAGTAGTAGTGGTAGTAGTAGTTGTAGTAGTAGCAGTCGTCGTAGTATTGTATTATAGTGTAGTATAGTATCGTGCAGTAGAACGTTCTGCATAGTCGTCATCCTCGCAGCAGTAGTAGTAGCAGTAGTAGTAGTCGTAGTGGTAGTAGTTTTAGTAGTTGTCGAAGTAGTAGCAGTCGTAGTAGTAGTAGTAGTAGTAGTAGTAGTAGTAGTAGTAGCAGACATAGATGCAGGAGTAGTAGTAGTTCTATCGTAGTGGTCGTAGTAGTAGTAGTCGTCGTAGTAGTAGTAGTAGTAGCAGTAGTAGTAGTAGTAGTAGTCGGTAGTAGTCGTGATAGTAGCAGTAGTAGCAGCAGTAGTAGCAGTAGTAGTCGTCGTAGTAGTAGTCGGAGTAGTAGTTGTAGCATTAGTAGTCGTAGTAGTACGAGTGGTAGTCGCAGTGTACCATAGTAAAGTAGTAGTCGTAGTAGTAGTAGTCGCAGTAGTAGTAGTAGTAGTAGTAGTAGTAGTAGTAGTCGTAATAATAGTATTAGTCGTAATAGCAGTAGTAGTCGTAGTAGTAGTACTAGTAGTAGTCGTCGTAGTAGTAGTAGTAGTAGTAGTAGTAGTAGTCGTGGTAGTAGTAGTAGTAGTAGTAGTAGTAGTAGTAGAAGCAGTGGTAGTAGTAGTAGTAGTAGTAGTAGTCGTCGTCGTCGTCGTCGTCGTAGTAGTAGTGGTAGTAGTAGTAGTAGTAGTAGTAGTAGTAGTAGTAGTAGTAGTAGTGGTAGTAGTGGTAGTAGTGGTAGTAGTGGTAGTAGTAGTAGTAGTAGTAGTTGTAGTAGTAGTACTAGTTGGCGTAGTAGTATCAGCAGCAGTAGTAGTACTAGTAGTCGTAGTAGTAGTAGTAGTAGCAGTGGTAGTAATAGTAGTAGTAGTCGTAGTAGTAGTAGTAGTAGTAGGAGTAGTAACAGGAGTGTAGTATTGTATAGTCAAGTATAGTATACTACAGAATAGTATAGTATCGTACAGTAGAGCACTAATAATCGTCGCCGTCGTCGTAGTAGTCGTAGTCGTAGTCGTAGTGGTAGTCGCATTTGTAGTAGTAGTAGTAGTAGCAGTGATGGTATTCGTAGTAGTATTAGTCGTAGTAGTAGTAGTAGTAGCCGTAGTAGTAGTAGTAGTAGTAGTAGTAGTAGTAGTAGTAGTAGTCGTAGTAGTAATAGTAGTAGTAGTAGTAGTAGTAGTAGTAGTATTAGTAGTGGTGGTGGTAGTAGTAGTAGTAGTAGTAGTCGTGGTAGTAGTAGTGGTAGTAGTAGTAGTAGTAGTAGTAGTAGCAGTAGTGCTCGTAGTAGTAGAAATAGTTCTCGTACTATTTGTTGTTGTTAGTAGTAGTAGTAGTCGTAGCCGTACTAGTAGTAGTAATAGTAGTAGTAGTAGTAGTAGTAGTAGTAGTAGTAGTAGTAGTAGTAGTAGTGGTAGTAGTAGTAGTAGTCGTAGTAGTAGTAGTAGTAGTAGTAGTTATAGTCGTAGTAGTAGTAGTCGTGGTAGTAGTAGTAGTAGTAGTAGTAGTAGTAGTAGTAGTAGTAGTAGTAGTAGTAGTAGTAGTAGTAGTAGTAGTAGTAGTAGTAGTAGTAGTAGTAGTAGTAGTAGTAGTAGTAGTAGTAGTAGTAGTAGTAGTAGTAGTAGTAGTGTAGTCGTAGTAGTAGTAGTAGTAGTAGAAGAAGTAGTAGAAGAAGTAGTAGTAGTAGTAATAGTAGTAGTAGTAATAGTAGTCGTAGTAGTAGTAGTAGTAGTAGTAGTAGTAGTAGTAGTAGTAGTAGTAGTTGGAAGAAGTAGTAGTAAGTATTAATAGTGGTAGTTAGTAGTTAGTAGATAGTCGTTAGTAGTCAGTGCTCGTTCGTTAGTCGTAGTTCGTAGAGTCGTCGTACTCGTAATCGTATTCGTAGTTCGTAGGCGTAGGCGTAGTCTAGTCGTAGGTCGTAGTCGTAGTCGTGTAGTAGGTTTCGTAGTCGTAGTCGTAGTCGTTAGTCGTAGTCGTAGTCGAGTCGTCGTAGTAGTAGTAGTAGATAGTAGTAGTAGTAGTAGTAGTAGTAGTAGTAGTAGTAGTAGTAGTAGTAGTAGTAGTAGTAGTTAAGTAGTAGTAGTAGTAGTAGTAGTAGTAGTAGTAGTAGTAGTAGTAGTAGTAGTAGTAGTAGTAGTAGTAGTAGTTTATTATTATTATTATTATTAGTAGTAGTAGTAGTAGTAGTAGTTTAGTAGTAGTAGTTTAGTAGTAGTAGTAGTAGTAGTAGTAGTAGTAGTAGTAGTAGTAGTAGTAGTAGTAGTAGTAGTAGTAGTAGTAGTAGTAGTAGTCGTAGTAGTAGTAGTAGTAGTAGTAGTAGTAGTAGTAGCAGTAGTAGTAGTAGCCGACACGCCTCGCCTGTTCGCTTCTTGCCCGCCCGTTCTTCCCTTGCTCGCTTCGTTTCCGCTTTCTGTTTCATTTCTTTAGTGCGGAGGAGGCGGAGGAGGAGGAGGAGGAGGTGGCGGAGGAGGACGCAGGCCCAAGAGACACACAGGTGTCAGCGACATCCCGACCACACAAGCGCCATCGAGCACTTTACCTGTCAAGAAAGCACCTCCTCTGCCCACCATGCCTCACACACCAAACGCAGGGCTACGTATTCCGCAAGACGGCAACCACGACATCTTGGTAGCACACCAGCAATGGGCAGCAACGCCGACATCGCCGAAGCCGATGTACCCATCACCTGCTCGTACCAACATGCTACCTTGCAGGTGTGCGCCAACACCCCCTGCATCACCCAACACACTCAACACCCACACGCACTTGCATCAACGCAATACTCCCAGCAAGCCAATGTCCTTTCACCTACTAAGCAGAGCCAGTACGCCGACCACAACAGCTCCGACCTCCAACACGTCACTAGTCAAGTTTCCACAGCCTCTACCAATTTACGACACCAATGAAGACAGCAGCGAAAGACCACCCCTAGCGTCTGAGTCACGCCGGCGACGAACTTAATACAAACACCCCATCTTAAAACAATCGACAAGTGGTCTCCTTTTTGAGCCGCCATACTATTCCACCCACCACCACCTGTACTACACATAGAAATCAGCTGCCAATCGGACGAGGAGATCATGGCGCAGCGTTGGCTACAGGAGGTGCCTCTCAACAACATGGATCACAAACGTATGCCACCGTGCACAACTACTTTCCGACCCACGCAGCACAAGCAATCGCAGCACACACTGCAGCAGCGAGAAGAGGAGGCCAGCACATTGTCATCTGCAACCGGCGCATCATTTTCGTCAACAACATTTGAGACCCGACATTCCAGAATTACATCGGCAGGCTCCGCTCACACCAGGCGTTATACGAGATCTACATCAACAGCCTCCACGATCATCCAACTGGAGTGCCTTTCGAAGAGTCTCCGCCCAAGCGGAGTGTGCGACGGTACAAGGCACCACCCACGCCCAAACCTACGAGCCGTAACGACACAGGACAAACCATGGACTAAGCACACACTGGTACGCAGCAGCCTACCACGACATCCACCTCAAGTACTCGTACCTCCTCTATTACCGAAGAAGAGCGTCACCTCAACCTCTCTCTTATTGCACAGTGTGCAGCCACGGATACATAGGTGTCGACTCTCCCGTACCGTTTCCTCTTTCATTGATGCGCCTTACACCCTTTTGTTTCTCCGTCGTGTTGTCCGACGCGCGGGTGGCTCCCCACTCTCAATCATGCACGTTTAGGGTAAGGCTTTTGAAGTCCTGGGCCGTAGCCTTAGCATTGCTCGTTACACGTGATGGACCCTGTTACAGGATACCCTCCTTTTCCAGCTGTCACACTGTTCGTATCTGGGTCCCCAGCCTGGGTACGACCCCACCCAAAGAGCTAGGCGTTCCGCCTGTTACACTGCATGTCGACCACATCCTACGTCAACGGTCCTACTTCTTTCTTCGCTCTTATTGATGCTGCATATGCCCTCTCGTTCTCTCGACATGTTTGTGGTGAGTTTCTCCACCTCTCCGCGGGCCGCCCCCACCTCTCCGCGGGCCCCAGGCACCTGGGCCTCTGGAGGTCTCCGTTGGCCTTTCCCCCGACGTGTGGTTCGGCGGCGGGCGAGGGGGGGAAGTGAGAAGGAGAAGGCCTTGTCAGAAGGGGTCGGAACCTCTCAGAAGCCCTCGCACCTTCTGAGAGGTTTTTTCCCAACCATCCTGTGGTGTTGGGTCCTCGTTTTGAAGAGACGGTGCCCCGCGTCTCCTTCCTCCTTCCTCCTCCTCCGCCTCCCTCCTCCCCCTCTTCCCTGCGTTTCACCCACCCAGCACAGCGTTTCGTGGCCCCACAGGGAGCTCCACCGAAGGCCCCATGGCTGCCGTCCGCATGCGTCCCGCACACCCATTTCGGCACACCCCTCACACGTTTCGTGGCCCCACAGGGAGCTCCACCGAAGGCCCCAGTGCTGCCGTCCGCATGCGTCCCGCACACCCATTTCGGCACACCCCTCACACGTTTCGTGGCCCCATAGGGAGCTCCACCGAAGGCCCCATGGCTGCCGTCCGCATGCGTCCCGCACACCCATTTCGCACACCCATTTCGGCACACCCCTCACACGTTTCGTGGCCCATAGGGAGCTCCACCGAAGGCCCCAGTGGCTGCCGTCCGCATGCGTCCCGCACACCCATTTCGGCACACCCCTCACACGTTTCGTGGCCCCACAGGGAGTTCCACCGAAGGCCCCAGTGGCTGCCGTCCGCAGCGTCCCGCACACCCATTTCGGCACACCCCTCACACGTTTCGTGGCCCCACAGGGAGCTCCACCGAAGGCCCCAGTGCTGCCGTCCGCATGCGTCCCGCACACCCATTTCGGCACACCCCTCACACGTTTCGTGGCCCCATAGGGAGCTCCACCGAAGGCCCCAGTGGCTGCCGTCCGCATGCGTCCCGCACACCCATTTCGGCACACCCCTCACACGTTTCGTGGCCCCATAGGGAGCTCCACCGAAGGCCCCAGTGGGTGCCGTCCGCATGCGTCCCGCACACCCATTTCGGCACACCCCTCACACGTTTCGTGGCCCCACAGGGAGCTCCACCGAAGGCCCCATGGCTGCCGTCCGCATGCGTCCCGCACACCCATTTCGGCACACCCTCACACGTTTCGTGGCCCCACAGGGAGCTCCACCGAAGGCCCCAGTGCTGCCGTCCGCATGCGTCCCGCACACCCATTTCGGCACACCCCTCACACGTTTCGTGGCCCCACAGGGAGCTCCACCGAAGGCCCCATGGCTGCCGTCCGCATGCGTCCCGCACACCCATTTCGGCACACCCCTCACACGTTTCGTGGCCCCACAGGGAGCTCCACCGAAGGCCCCAGCCCATGCTGCCGTCCGCATGCGTCCCGCACACCCATTTCGGCACACCCCTCACACGTTTCGTGGCCCCACAGGGAGCTCCACCGAAGGCCCCAGTGCTGCCGTCCGCATGCGTCCCGCACACCCATTTCGGCACACCCCTCACACGTTTCGTGGCCCCATAGGGAGCTCCACCGAAGGCCCCATGCTGCCGTCCGCATGCGTCCCGCGCACCCATTTCGGCACACCCCTCACACGTTTCGTGGCCCCACAGGGAGCTCCACCGAAGGCCCCAGTGCTGCCGTCCGCATGCGTCCCGCACACCAGGTGTGTGGCGTGCCGACATGGGCGTCGCGGCGCGCGGGCGCTGCCGTCGGGGTTCCCAGGGAAGCCCCCTGCAGAGGCGACGCTCAGAGTCACGAGTACCGAGAGTCACGCAGACCCAAACTGTTCACAGTCGTATACATACATTTACACTGGGCGTATCCATGCACGCATTCATGCGAATAGAATCAATCGCGCGCAGATTCATTCATAATCAGACTCGCTCGCGATCCGACTCGCACGCGCTCAAACTTTCATATTCGGACCTATCGTCTTCGTTCCTGTTGTGGACACTGCCACGCATTTCGGCACACCCCTCATACGGCTCGTGGCCCCATAGGGAGCGCCACCGAAGAAGATATTCACAATTGCGGTACTCTCAACTGCATATGGTTGGGTCCTTCGCCAGGCTAATTTGATGTCTCCAGGGGAGGCTTAGGAAGTTGCTCAGAAGGCTGAGGGACTTCCGAGCCTTCTGAGAAGGCCCGCCCCGTCGCCCTTCCCCCCCCTCGTTCGCCGCCGGGTCGTTTTCTTATTCCCCACATCCTAAGTGGGGTTCTTGTTTTCTCTGCACACCCTCCGCGCAGGATCTCTCGTCCTCCTCCCTCTCCTCTGCTCCTCTTTGCTTCCTCCTCCGCGTCCTCGCACCTTCTGAGAGGTTTTTCCCAACCATCCTGTGGTGTTGGGTCCTCGTTTTGAAGAGACAGCGCCCCGCGTCGCACCTCCTCTCCTCCTCCTCCTCCTCTCCTCGCCCTCCTCCCTCCTCCCCTCCTTGCCTCTGCTCTCGGCACACCCCTCACACGTTTCGTAGCCCCATAGGGGGCTCCACCGAAGGCACCATGGCTGCCGTCCGCATGCGTCCCGCACACCCATTTCGGCACACCCCTCACACGTTTCGTGGCCCCACAGGGAGCTCCACCGAAGGCCCCATGGCTGCCGTCCGCATGCGTCCCGCACACCCATTTCGGCACACCCCTCACACGTTTCGTGGCCCCACAGGGAGCTCCACCGAAGGCCCCAATTTCGGCTCACAAGTTTCGTGGCCCCATAGGGAGCTCCACCGAAGGCCCCATGGCTGCCGTCCGCATGCGTCCCGCACACCCATTTCGGCACACCCCTCACACGTTTCGTGGCCCCACAGGGAGCTCCACCGAAGGCCCCATGGCTGCCGTCCGCATGCGTCCCGCACACTCATTTCGGCACACCCCTCACACGTTTCGTGGCCCCCCACAGGGAGCTCCACCGAAGGCCCCAGTGCTGCCGTCCGCATGCGTCCCGCTCACCCATTTCGGCACACCCCTCCCACGTTTCGTGGCCCCACAGGGAGCTCCACCGAAGGCCCCATGGCTGCCGTCCGCATGCGTCCCGCACACCCATTCGCACAAAATTAGAAAAATGGCTGCCCCTCACTACGTTTCGTGGCCCCATAGGGAGCTCCACCGAAGGCTCCAGTGTTGCCGTCCGCATGCGTCCCGCACACTCATTCGGCACACCCCTCACGCGTTTCGTGGCCCCAGGGAGCTCCACCGAAGGCTCCAGTGCTGCCGCCGGCATGCGTCCCGCACACTCAATTCGGCACACCCCTCACACGTTTCGTGGCCCCATAGGTATCTCTCTCCACCGATGGCCCCAGTGCTCGTTTTTTTTTTTTCCCCATGCGTCCCGCACACCCATTTCGGCACACCCCCCCCTCATAGAACGTTTTCTGGCCCCACGGAGCTCCACCGAAGGTCCCAGTGGGTGTGCCCGCATGCGTCCCGCACACCCATTTCGGCACACCCCTCACACGTTTCGGTGCCCCATAGGGAGCTCCACCGAAGGTCCCAGTGGGTGTGCCCGCATGCGTCCCGCACACCCATTTCGGCACACCCCTCACACGCTTCGTGGCCCCATAGGGAGCTCCACCGAAGGTCCCAGTGGGTGTGCCCGCATTCGTCCCGCACACCCATTTCGGCACACCCCTCACACGTTTTCGTCGCGGCCCCATAGTATCTCCACCGAAGGCGACCAGTGCTTGCCGTCCGCAGGCGTCCCGCAACACCCATTTCGCACAAACCACCCCTCACGACGTTTCGTGGCCCCACAGGAGCTCCCCGAAGCCCCAGTGCTGCCGTCCGCATGCGTACCCGCACAATAACAACATTCGGCACACCCCTGCACGAACGTTTCGGCCCCATAGGGAGCTCCACCGAAAGGGCCCCAATGGGCTGCCGTCCGCATGCGTCCCGCACACCCATTTCGGCACACCCCTCACACGTTTCGTGGCCCCACAGGGAGCTACACCGAAGGCCCCATGGCTGCCGTCCGCATGCGTCCCGCACACCCATTTCGGCACACCCCTCACACGTTTCGTGGCCCCATAGGGAGCTCCACCGAAGGCCCCATGGCTGCCGTCCGCATGCGTCCCGCACACCCATTTCGGCACACCCCTCACACGTTTCGTGGCCCCACAGGGAGCTCCACCGAAGGCCCCAGTGCTGCCGTCCGCATGCGTCCCGCACACCAGGTGTGTGGCGTGCCGACATGGGCGTCGCGGCGCGCGGGCGCTGCCGTCGGGGTTCCCAGGGAAGCCCCCTGCAGAGGCGACGCTCAGAGTCACGAGTACCGAGAGTCACGCAGACCCAAACTGTTCACAGTCGTATACATACATTTACACTGGGCGTATCCATGCACGCATTCATGCGAATAGAATCAATCGCGCGCAGATTCATTCATAATCAGACTCGCTCGCGATCCGACTCGCACGCGCTCAAGCTTTCATATTCGGACCTATCGTCTTCGTTCGTGTTGTGTACACTGCCACGCATTTCGGCACACCCCTCATACGGCTCGTGGCCCCATAGGGAGCGCCACCGAAGAAGATATTCACAATTGCGGTGCTCTCAACTGCATATGGTTGGGTCCTTCGCCAGGCTAATTTTGATGTCTCCAGGGGAGGCTTAGGAAGTTTCTCAGAAGGCTGAGGGACTTCCGAGCCTTCTGAGAAGGCCCGCCCCGTCGCCGTTCCCCCCCTCGTTCGCCGCCGAGTCGTTTTCTTATTCCCCACATCCTAAGTGGGGTTCTTGTTTTCTCTGCACACCCTCCGCGCAGGATCTCTCGTCCTCCTCCCTCTCCTCTGCTCCTCTTTGCTTCCTCCTCCGCATCATCATCACCATCACCATCACTCCCCACTTATCATCATCATCATCACCATCAGCATCACCATCACCATCGCACGATCACTCACCATCATCGGCATCGAACGATCATCATCATCATCATCATCATCATCATCATCATCATCATC